TTGAAGAATTGAACTTCTGTATTTTAATGTGAAAGAGGCATATAGAGTCACGGCCCTGCCCCTTCTGGGCAAGTCTGACCATAACCTGGTTCACGTCCAGCCATAGTACCACCCCATTGGTCCAAAGACAGCCGATCGTCAAACGCTCCATCAAGAGATGGACTTCTGAAGCTGAGGATGAACTGAGAGACTGCCTTGACACCACAGACTGGGATGTACTACTGAGTCCAGATGATGAGGACATCGAGGGAGCTACCCACCGCCTGACGGATTATCTTAATTTCTGTTTGGATGTGGTTGCCCCTGCAAAGATTGTATGGTGTTACCCTAATAATAAACCATGGGTAACATAGGAAGTCAAAGCTGTCCTCAACAGAAAGAAGGAAACCTTCAGGAGTAACAACAGGGAGGAGATGAGAGCAGCACAGAGGGAGGTGAAAGACTGCCTGAAGGAGGCTAAGGACCACCCAGAGGAGAAAACTGGAGCAGAAACTGCAACAGAACAACATGAGGGAGGTCTGGGATGGCGTGAGAACCATCACAGGCCATAAAGCTAAGACCAGCTCAGTCTCAGCTTTATGGCGTGTGGCCTGTTCATTTCATAGGTTAAGAAATTCTGCTGCCATCCTCTACACCAAGCCCACTCACATCAGGAAAGGGGGAGCGGCGCTGTGAGAATCCTCCTCTATCTTTCTATCTATCTATCTATCTATCTATCTGTCTATCTGTCTATCTGTCTCTCTGTCTGTCTGTCTATTTGTCTATCTATCTATCTATCTATCTGTCTATCATCTATCTATCTATAAATCTATCTGTGTGGCCAGTGATTTTCTCTTCTTTTTTTTCTCTGTATCTGTTGCTCCTTTTTTGCCGTTTTCACCTCCTACACGGTCTTGCTGTCTGCAACAAGATCCTCATCAAAAGAATACTGTATGAACTGTTTTTAATAATAATTTTTTGGATAAATTCAGAACCCAGAGTCACTCAGTCCCCATGGTCATTGTAAAGGATGACATGTCCAGAGTGGATTAATATTAGATTATACAATGACTATCTTGGTTTGGTAAGCTAATAATGCGTTGATAGTTTAAAGTGATGACTTAATTCAGACATGGGCAAATTTTTTGACTCACGGGCCCCAACTGTCCTAAGATTGAACAGGGGGGCAGGGTCAGGAGCAGATAGATGAAGCATTCTTGTGAACTGCAATAAATAACATGTAAAAGTCATGCATAAAGGCTAAAATGCTCAAATGCTTTTATCATTTTCTCCGTCATCTATTGGGGAAACTTGGGTATTGCATGGAAAAGGCAGAAGTATAATGATAATATAAATAGATTATATATTTGGAATAGGTGGCGCTTTGGCCCAGAGGCAATGTCTCTGTCATTGGTGTGGAACCCCAGGGTTCATGCTCCTGAGCAAGTTTGAATCCTGGTTAGGGCGGTTGGTACCTTCCAGTGGACTCACCACCC